GAAGATGTTGTGTCCGCCGAGAACTAAGAAAAATAAATAAATATTAAAATTCTCTCTCTCTCTCTGTCCCCCTCTCTCTCACTCTCTCTTTAAAAAAAAAAAAAAAAAAAAAGAAAGATGTTAACCTTTGTTTGGCTGCCTGTTTAAGTGTGGTACATCACTATGGTAGAGGACCCAAGAGATAAAAGTCTGGGCTATTAGGAAAATACGACATATAATTGTGGAAAAGAAGATTTCAAAAAGGAATTGAAAAAGAATACTGGGTTGAAAAACTGAATGCGAGTGGATTCATGCGCATACAGAGATGACCACAATTGTCTGCTAACATTGTTTGGTTCAATATATGAACAATACCAAAATGGGCTGCTGTGTTCTTGGACAACATAATAGAATCAGAACAAGTGGTGGGSAAGAGCAGACTCTTAGAACATTTCTCTTGTTCTTGATGTTGCTGTTATTACTCCAGGTGGAGATCGGACTCAATATTCATTACAGTACACACATCTCAAGATCAGATAGATAAGGATTTAGGGAAATTCATCTGAGAATCATTTTATTTTTTTAAAAGGGATTAAGTGCCATAGACTCTTGAATTTTTTAACAAGCAACTTGGATCTTTTTTTTCAGCTCCTAAAAGTCGACTCCAAAATCGCCTGCTCTTCCATTTGGCCCACAAGGTATTTATGTTTTCATTTCAATTTTCTTTTTTGGTATCAGGGATTAAACTCAGGGGCACTCAACCACTGAGCTACATCCCCAGCCCTATTTTGTATTTTATTTAGAGAGAGGATCTCACTGAGTTACTTAGTGCCTTGTTTTTGCTGAGGCTGGCTTTGAACTCACAATCCTCTTGCCTCAGCCTCCTGAGACGATGGGATTATAGACATGTACTGAACACCCAGTGATTCTGATACTTGGCTCAAAAATGTTTTTGTTTTAACAATATTTTCCTCTTATTTTCTTCTGTTAACAATAGAGAAAGGCGGTTGGGTATGGTAGAGCAAGCCTGTAATTCCAGCAGCTCGAGAGGCTGAGACAGGAGGGTCATGAGTTCAAAGCCAGCCTCAGCAAAAGCCAGGCACTAAGCAACTCAGTGAGACCCTGTCTCTAAATAAAATACAAAAATGGGCTTGGGGGGCTGGGGATGTGGCTCAAGCAGTAGTGCGCTCGCCTGGCATGCATGTGGCCCAGGTTCGATCCTCAGCACCACATACAAACAAAGATGTTGTGTCTGCCAAGAACTGAAAAATAAATATTAAAAAATTCCCTCTCTCTCTCTCTCTCTCTCTCTCTCTCTCTCTCTCTCAAAATGGGCTTGGGATGTGACTCAATGATCCAGTGTCCCTGAGTTCAATCCCTGGTACCAAAAACAACAACAACAACAACCTAACAATAGAGAAAGGCAATTAACTATAAATTCCTGTTGATAGCATTTCTAGAATAAGTGGAATATAGATGTTAATTTTATTGGATTTTCCCATCATTAATGTTCTTTACCCTCTTAATTTATTCAGAGGTGTTAAGTTTTAGTTATTTATTTTTTTTTTAAAAACAAACCTGTTCAAGGTTTATCTTTTTTTAAAATATTTATTTATTTATTAGTTATTGGCGGACACAACATCTTTGTTTGTATGTGGTGCTGGAGGATCGAACCCGGGCCGCAAGCATGCCAGGCGAGCTCGCTACCGCTTGAGCCACATCCCCAGCCCAAGTTTTAGTTATTCTTAAGAGAGCAGTCATTTAAGAATGTTAGTGTGCTTCGACTATCCTATCATCTCTTAGGAAACAGACTCAGAGATACCTTGCTCTGACTCATGGAAATAAATATACATTTTTCATAATTGCCTTAGGGCAGTAATTTTGATCATTATAATGTTATATTTTAAGTTATAATTTTWAAAAAATATTTATTTTTCAGTTGTAACTGGACACAATACCTTTATTTATTTATTTTTATGTGACGCTGAGAATCAAACCAGGGCCTCACATGTGCTAGGCGAGTGCTCTACTGTGAGCCACAACCCCAGCCCCAAGTTATAATTTTTTGAAATATAAAATTTATACCCATTTATT